TCTCCTTAAGGAGCGACCACTCTCCTTGGACACCTGGCTGCCCTCCCCTCCGGGACCTCAGCGCTTCTCCAACTATCCTCCTTAGTTTGCTGAAGTTTGCCCTCCTAAAATCTAGGGCCGCTGCCTTACTGCATGCCTTGGCCACCTTGCTCTGGATGGTGAATTCCAGCAGGTGATGATTGCTGTCGCCCAGGTGGTCGAGCACCCGCAGCCCCCTCACCAGGTCATCACCTGTGGCCAGCACTAGGTCCAACAAGGCATCTCCCCTGGTGGGGCTGTGCACCTCCTGGGTTAGATGGAGGTCCTTCACTCTAAGAACCTACGTGAGTGTTCAGACCTGGCTGACTGCTCTTCCCAGCAGATGTCCAGGAAGTTCAGGTCCCCCATGACTACCACATCCCTGTTAGTTTCTACTGTTAGTGAGGTGAACTAACAGTAGAAACTGACTTAGCCTCAAGAACCAGATAAAGCTTTTGAGGCCCTCTATTGCTGTAGGGTGGCTCCTTCCATTTGGGGGGCAAAGTATGGAGTACTGGCAGTGAATGATGCTTTAAGCCTGCTCTCCATAAGTCTTGATTAGTGCTGGAAAGCAGATTAGCTTTGATTTTCTATATCAAAGAATGCAGAGCTAATCTTCAGTTACAGCCATTTGTAATTTGGTCCTTCCCGTTAGGTGGGAGAGAGGAATTCTGCTCATCAAGCATCTGCTTCTCACCAAGCTCAACCTGGTGAAGAAGTTTTTACTTGAGCACTATGCATGCTTCAGTTCTCCCCCTGGAACTCAGGTGGATGAGGCATTTTAGCGAGTGTTTCAAATGCCTCTGGGTCAAGTTTATACAATCCAGGGATATATTAAAAGAATAAGTTTAAATAATTTCCTGGATGTCAAGAGGTCTTGCGAGGCTTAAAACCCCCAGATTTAGGACAGTCGACCAAAGCAAGGTTCTTGAACCCCCATGGCAGTGCCCTTTTAAGATGCCAAGATGAATGTTGTTGCTCAGTCAGCCAACTGCAATGGGAAACAGGAGGCCTTTCAGAAGAAGCTGTAGCAGTTTAGTGATGTTCAATTAAGGGGACAGGTGCAAAAAGTTCTGAGCCTAGGATTTTACTTTTGACCGTTTTGTAAACCCTTTCATTGCTCTTCAAGATAAGTCTTCTAGTGCCACAGCACCTGCTCAGCAGTCTTTTGAAGGACAGGCTTTCCAGAATAGTAGGCATTCATTCCAAGGTGGGGGGCGGGGAGGGAGATTCAAAATTTGTGACTTGCCAGCAGTAATTGGTACCCAGCTGTGACAGTCAAGCTATTTTATGCTTTCCTCTTACATGGCAAAAATCTAAGCCATTTGCTAATACTTCTGGGAGTTGGGCACCCAACTTCCAACTGAATGGAGTTTGAGATCCGAATGCCATTTGAGCCTTGGAGAAACAGTTTTCTGCCACTGCATAGCTAATGCCATCCCACCATACCTGTTGTCCAGTCTCCAGGATTTGAGACTGTAGATCCAGCTGCACATTCTGTCTGACCATAGGCTTCAAAGATCTGGACAGGAGAACAAGCATTTCTAAGTGTTGGCTCAAGCCCTTAAAAGCACACAGTAGTGATCTGAGTGCTGTCAGTCCTCAGTGTTACTGCAGTCTTGACTGCCAGGACAGGACAGTGGGCAAACATCCTGCATTGTGGCATCAAGGGTCTTTGCTAGACTAGTATTAGCCTGCAGACTAGAAGGTCCAGTTTGCTTCCTAGAAGGTTGCATCTCTCACCACCCAACAAATTACAAGAGGATTGCAAGATTTTACAGCATAAACAGAAGATGCCATGGCCCGAATTCACACTACCCTAATCCCAGACTCTTGGGAAATTTAGGACTTCATCCCTTTATCTCCAGTTTCAGAGAGTCCCAAAAGGCTTAGTTCTTTTTTCCCTTTCCAAAGCCACTTCCACCTTTACTCTTGGGAAAGAGGAGTGATGGATTCCTGCTGACAAACCCTGCTCAAGAACTACTTAAGTTCAGCTGCCTGACAACAGGACAAAAACTACACACCACCACCACGCAAGACTGTACCACATTCCTATGCTGCCTTGCAACCTAGAAGGCTAGCTGGAAGCATCTCTCCAGAATGGAAGGAGTTATGCTGCTTTCCATAGGTTACTGATCAGCAAGCAAAAAAAAAAAGTTAACCAAAAGTGTTTGTTGAAGCTTGTTTATACAGCTTTTCACAGAAGAGTAGTAAAAAAACCCACTACAAAAGTAGTTTAGTAATTTTAAGTGGGTCGATTAGCAGGTTAGGTACCCTTGAGTTCAAGATGTACCAAGGTTTTATTCTCTTCTGCAAAAAAACATTAAGAGTTTTTTTTTTTTCCTCTGTCTGCCAAATGAGATGACTGGCTGCTGAACATCCAGGGAAACAAACATGCATGGCTCATGCAGAAAGCCATAATCCCTACAGTCTGAGCTATACTGGCACTGCTGGCAGGTGAAATGTGATAAACGTGTTCAAGTTTGCATCTTCCAAGTCCAAAGTTACCTGACACCCCAATGCTGCTCGAAGAAAGATCATGACAGTGGGAGAGATGGGAGCTGCTCCTGTTACAATCACACGCAGCTGCCCACCCATGGTTTCCTACAAGGAAAGAGAAATGTAAAGTAGGTCCCAGTCCGTGCAGGCATCAAGAACTTGCAGCATCCCCTATTTGAAGTATAGGGATTCCCCATTTACTTCTCTCCTTTTAGGAATTACCCGTCCAGGGCAATAGTAACCTACATTAGACCTCAGACTAAGCTACAGAAAGCTACTAGATCCAGATGAAGGCGGCTTGTGAAGCATGTATGCTGTAGCAGATGAGACCAAGTGGAAGATTCATGTTCAAGTACAGCACAAGAGCTTCCTGGTCCAGGCCAGTCTACTCCCACATCATGGGGAATTTGGCAAGATTCTTGAAGGCTAAAACAAATTTCAGCCAGAATTACAAGTGACCCTAGGGAGACCATTGCATAGAGTATCTAGACTTGTAAGTTGGAGGTAGCATTTTTCCCCATTTTTAAACAGGAACCAATATTAGTTTGAGAGCTACATTCAGCATCTACCAGGTACTTTTTCATCCATGCCTCCTTTATACTCATTAGGATGCTTTAGCATCATGTTAATTAGCTGGCTCTTCAGTAGGTATCAAATCCTGGTTTGATACAGCAGAACATTTACAGTCAAGAAGTATATTGAGAAAGACAAGTAATCTGTCACTGCATGACTGGCATTTTACTTCTGTCCTGTGCCATTGCTGTAGTCTTGTTGCAAAAGGCCTGTATTCCTTTTCCCTAGTGCTACATAATCCCTCCAGCCTTGTACTTGGTCCATAGAAGTCTTCCAGCAGTATAGCTTAAGACCCCTTTCACCTTTGGGAAAGGTCTTTGCCCTCCCATGCCCAGCTGTAAGCTTATCCAGCCTTCTTTGAACTTTGCTGAATAGTGCACTGGTATTTGATGCTCACACTGCATTACCTGGACTTTTTTAAAAATCAGTTTATCCCAGATGCTGTTGTTCCGAATGATGCCCTGCTTTAATTCAGCTGTTTTTGCAGCCACAGCAGCTGCTAGCAAGAACTTCTTCAGTGAGCCACATGCACCACTTTGTATCTGTAGAGGAAGAGGCATTCCATGAGTGTCACCTGAATCTTTTGCTTGTTAAGAGTACAGGAGTGGGCCAGCATCAAATCAAGACTGTCCATCTTTAGTTGGAGATATCATAGGACCTTAAAACTACTGCTAAGCAAAAAAACATTTTAACTGTGACCATAAGGGAGTACTGCAAACCAAGGTAGGTCTAGGCTTTGGCCAGCTGGCAGTCTCCTTAGTGTGCTCCTTTCTTGGGCATGGCTATGTCTGCACATGCATACTTGTGTTGATGCAGTTGGGTGCACACCACCCCAGTTTCAGGTCTCATGCATGCAGTTGGCACTCCTACATTCAAGTCTGAATTATGGAATGGGCTTTCATGCCCAGTTTGAGCTAGTTTCAACTAAAACAGGGACATCCTCATCCTTAAAAGGATGAGCCTCGCCAAGGATCTGCATTTGAGCCAGTGCAGGACTTGAACTCTGAATTCTGACAAATTGGTGATGCTGTTTTTAAAAAGGAGGCTAAAGGGCCAATTGAAGTGGCTGTTAGGTTGCATTTTGCAGTAGTTCTGGTACTTCTCCATTTCTTGTTAGCTTGTCTACAGAGCAGCTTTGAGTACCTTGTCATACACCCTGTTGAGCAGTCTTGGCACCACTGGAAACAGTGTTGGCTTCAAGGTTTTCATGTCATCAGTTAGCAGTTTGATGTCTCCTTGGAAGAAACCCACTTTTGCTCCACAGGTGTACAATACAGTCTAGAAATGAGACAAAAACCACACACCATGGGCCCAATCCTGCAAATCCTTATAAATTAATCGTAACCAAATTCACAGATTTTAAGATTAGTGCAGATAGAACAAATCAGGAAAGCTGTACTTCTGCAGCACCTTTGAAGATGAGGAAAGCTTCACCTTGGATGATTCTGTCCTCATTATTACTGGTTGGCATCTTAGCCAATACTATCTAGCTTTGGTCTAAGTTCTTAGACTTGGTTCTATGCAAGGCAACACTGGAGCCATGCAACAAAGAAAGAGCAAGGCCTTGCTAAAGCCAAGGTTTAGAACTGAGCCTCAGAAGGTATCCTCAATTTCAGCGCAGTAGGAATATTTCTCCTTATAAAAGGATTTGTAGGTAGACACGAGGATTTTGCAACTCAACTCAGTCTAGGAATCAGGATTCCTAGACCAATTAGTTGTAAGAAATGCAGTGTTGAGCCTAAAAAGAAGGTTTAATCCAAGAACACGTGGAACCCAAATTCTTAGCAGTGTAAGTTAAGTGGAGTTTTTGAATGGGATTGTTCTGGACCTGGTCTGGAATATACACCCTCTTTCAAGAACATGCTGTACTATTCTTCCTTGCTTTCTTATATACTACTTTTTAATCCCCCCCACCCCTTGTTATGAAAGACTTGACCTAGTGTGCTATCATACGCTTGAGCATCAGGTATTGTGTTACTTTGCTTTAATAACAGGTTTGCTCCACCTACGACCGCTAGGAATTTACAAGCGTTTTTGCAGTACCATGGTATGATATGAAGGATGCATTAGTTTGTTTTCATAACGTGGCTAGGCTAGGCCTCCAAGTAATTGGAGAGGAGGTCTTTAGTTTAGAAAGATGACAGGCCTCATATCTTCAGAGTAAGTACTAGGGGCAGGGAACCCCAACATCCTCAAATCAATCAGTCTTCTCAAAAAGGTGCAATAAGCCAGGGAAAGAATTAAAACAGTACATTATGCTAGTTTCTCCTGTTACACAGTCCTGGTGTCAGACTCCTGGACACCAAGAACAATTCTGAGCCAGACTTAGTACTATTTCTGCAGCCAAAGACTACTACAATGCTACTGGAAGTGGTAGGGAAAAGGAGCTTCCTATTGAATGCTACAAGGGCATGAATTAGTAACACTTACCTGCACTACCCTCTCAAACATGTGAGCCAGTGGAAGATAGGATATTGAAATATCCAATTCTGTTATCTCACACATACCCTACAGCAAAATAGTAAAAAACAGGAAAATAAGTTGTGTTGTAGGCGTGTCCCTTCTGTTGAACCAAAGTAGTATTTGCCCACTTCACCCTTTACCAAAGAGGTCTTGGAATCCTCTCCTCCCCCCTTGCTTAGCCTTAAAAAGAGCACTGAAATGAAGTATGCTTATTAAACCATGCATTTTTTTATTCCAACAGGGGCAAAAAGCTTTATTAGTTTCCCCATATTCGTGTTGGAGCCAGGATGCTATGGAACTAGATGTAACTGAATTGTTTCAGATGTCTAGGGAAGCAGTTTTCTATTGGAAGAACCAAAGAGGTTTAGGCATCACCTCAGACCCTTCAAGTAGTGGCATCTTACTCCCACTTCAAAGCAATTCCTAGACAGTCCTAGGTTCAATATTTGGAGTCAGGACACCTTGCCATTTTGAATTTGGCAACCCCCCAGGTTGAGAACTGACCTCAGTGGTTCTCACTCAGTTAGGTGTTACCACCCCTGCCACCAAGTACTTGTCCTGTATGCTTTGATTGAAGCCAAACCAGAAAGGGCCACAGCATGCAAGTGCTCTCCTGCCTCAAAGTTGGCTTATCAGAGAACTCTTCCCCCAGAAATAGAAGTGAACATGGCAGGTGGAACCATCTTGCAAGACTCTTTCCAGGAGGAGCGTGGGGTGACCAGACTGAGAAGGGCTGCAGCACAAGTTGCCTCTCCTACCTGCTTTAAGATGGTCAGAAAGGCTTGATGAAACAGGAGAATACACCTATGCTGCAGCCCATGCTGGTTTGACTGTACCAGGTAAAAGTACCCCGCACACCTGGCTGCTGCAACGCCCTTTGGGGATGGGGGAACAAAACAAACCAAAACCTTTTCAGCACAGTGATTGAGAACTACTGTTTAGCAGCATCAGTCCAGGTATTATTTGGGGTGTCCTTTGTAGTACAGAGAGCCAGGACTCAAGGGCTTTTCCCAATGTGTTGCAGGTCTTATAATGCAGGCCTGCTGTACAACAAGCCTGACCTGTCCAAGAGTTTAAGCACTAACATCCTTTGCACTTTTGCTTACCTCAATAGTTCTGATGTAAGCAGCAGCATCTGCTATAACATTTTCATGGGTTATCATGGCTCCTTTGGGGTCACCTGTAAGGGTCACAGGCAAACTAATTATAGCCACCACTCCCAGGTATCCAGACTAAAAGCTTTTGTTGCATTCAGCTCAATCACTTGTATAATACAAGCCTTGTGTTTTCACTGTTTGGGTCAGTCTGTCATGTTCCCATTCAACACATGAAGCAGATTTTTGGGTAAACCGCTTCAAAGTGACTTTTGGTTTTGGGTAAGATACTTTTTAGATCTTTAATTGACTGCACAGCCCATAGGCTGCATTCTTGCTGGCCATATCTAGCTTGGCTAGTCTTCAGCCAAGGTATAGCTTGTACATAGAGGTCAGAGACCTTCAGCCAGATTTAGTGATCAAGTCATATCTACCAAAATGGATTTATGCTACAATGTGCAGTGAGAAGTCTGGCCTATGCTTGCTCTTTCATTAAAAACCTCCTGATCTATAGCAGTGTTAAACTTAGTCATTGGTCAGTGCTTGCTGCAAGCCAAAAGTTTAAACAAACTTCCTAATGCCAAGCTCCAAACAGGAATTAGTTTTCATTTAGCATCTTTGCATTCAACAACCCTTTTCCTTGCAAGAAGGCAGGCTAAAGTATTAAGGAACCTGTACGGACATTTCCTCCCACCCCTCCTTTTCAATACTTGCAGTTAGGGCTGCAAGTTTAAATGCAAAAAATGTACCTGTGGTTCCACTAGTGAAACACACAATGCAAAGGTCCTCAGGTTTGGGAGGCTAGAAGACAGAGAAACAAGAACATTAAGCTTGCGTGACCACAGTATCAGAGTACACTTTGTTCTTCCCAAAACCTGCTGCCAAGCATGGACCTCTCCTGGAAGGGAGTGGGCGTATTCAGATGCACTGTGGAGTATGGCATTTCAGCTGTTAGTTTACAAACAAAATGTCTACACCCACAGCAGCCACTATGTACGTCTGCACCCATAACTATCAGCCAGATCACCATGTTTAACTTACCTTTGGTTTCTGCCAGTTGTTTTTGCCCAGCTCCTGTGTACAGAAAAAAAAGAGATTAAAAGATTTCACAGTTAGCAGCATGTAAATGCTATGCAAGCAGGTAAAAGGCATGCTTTTCTTTAGCATGTATCAGGGTCCCTTCTTTATACTTCCTGTTGAGCCCTCCTTTAAGCGGTTGGGTTTTTTCTGCCACTTCCACCAGGCTTCCTATCCATCTTTCACATAGTGTTCTTTATTGTAGATATTCCAGAGCCCCAGGCATCTGGGAGTCTGCCTAGCCAGCTCTTTGTAGCCGTGACAGATTTTCAGGATGGTATTCCATTTTCTGCATACCTGGACAGCCATATTTTAATTGTCCATGTCCCCAAAGTGCTACTTATGCGTTATTTGGCATTCTGTTCCTACTTACATAACCCTCTATCTAGGTGCACAGATAGGCATTATATAGAATACCAACCTATGCACAAGTAGAATTTGGGGGACTTAAACAACCATTTAAGTGATCAAGTCTGGTCAAGTGGGTGTCCAGAAAATGCCCTTAAGACTCTGGCTCCCTGTCCGCCCACTAAGGAGGGTGCTCAAAGTTGACTAGCCCCTGTTTATCCCCTGCACAAAATGCACGGGGTGTCCATCCTAGCTATTTTTGAAAGTCTGTTGGATTCAAAATTTAGAGACTCGGTTTTCTCCATTTAGAATCTGCTTCCTATAAAGGCTGGAAAATCCTCCCATGCAAAGTTCACCTCCCAATAAGTTGCCAGTACCAATTCTTACTTGCCCAGGGGTGGGCAGGAAGAAACTTAATAGAAATCTTGTGCTCAGACATTTAGAGTCATAGTGCCTTACAGTAGCATGTGACTGAGCCAAACTAGAGGCATTTCAGATCAGAGTTCTGATCTCAAACAAGCCAAATTTTACTCCAGTGAACAGCTTAATTATCAAGCCAGTGACTACAGTGACAAAGATATTTTCCTCAAGAAGAAATGCATACTTATACAGTGCATTTCATTTAACCTTTAATGTGGGCTATGTAGTTAGTAAAAACCTATGTACAAGTGCTTGTTAAGCACATAGAATTAGCAGCCCCAAGTATTGATTAAAGGGCCTGTCAATGCTAACTCATTTTCAGGCCTCTTCACAGCAACTCTTGGTGACCGAAAAAAAGCCCCTTCACTATCTATGCAGTTAAACTGGAACAGAGTTGTATTAGGAATTAGAGTCGGTCAGTCCCAGCGTCACCATCCTTAGTCAGGCAATTATTAGTTGTTTGTTATGGAAGCAGGAGGCAAGCCAAGACTGGCATTGTGTGATGCAGCCAAGAGTTATGAGCAAGTACTGGAATGACCTTTCCCCAGGAAAGGACCATGAAGCATCGCATACCTCAACTTCCTGCTGCAGCAGAATCTCCACTCCCATTTTGGCTCCTCTTTCTTTGAGTTCATTGTCAAAGAGATCCATTAGGATGATAGTCTTCAGTCCAAGAGTCTTCCCTTGCTCACAGTTATCTAGCAGGACCTGCGCCCTTTCAGGCTTGTCACAGATCACGGTGGTGAGGTCAGCTGCAGAAGAGACCCACACAACCCAACACTTTAGGTTTGTTCCAATCTCAAGGTCAGTCTCACCTGACAGTGTTAGAAGTTAGAGGACAAGGGCTAATTGGCGCTTGAGCTTAGATTTGGTAGAGGCATACATTTAAACACCTTCAAGGCTCTTAAAAGTTATGAGTGCTATTAACATGGATCCAAAAAAGTTCTCACAGAGGAGCAAGCGTTCACATGAAGATCTGGGTACACGTGGATTCAACCCAGAGTCTGTACACATTTCTGTTGCATAAAAACTAATTTACAGTATATCTAGAACTCTCATTAATGCTTCCTTTTGGGGTTTTTTCCCCGTAAATCCAAGGTTAAGAATTCCAACAGTAAAAAACAACCAAAAACAACTAAAACTAGCATTTAGTTTTAGCCCTAGCTTCTGTATTTCAGAGAAACCTTATGTGAGTTCATTAATTTGAATGTTAGTTCCTCATTAGTGTTCTGTTGCTGTGTTATCATGACACGTTCAGGCACAGGTTAACCTAATTAAATTACAGCTTTGTCCCAAGAGACAAGCTGTTGCAAGGTTTCCATTTGATTCAATTTTAGAATATGGGTTAAAAAAAATCCTATACCCAATTAGTGAATAAATCAAAGGGTCATCATCTTTAAGTTAAAATTTGACAGATTAAAAAAAAAAAAGTTGTGGCAGGTGGGAGGGAAGACTTCAAGAGTGGGGATCACAGGCCATCTTTCATCCCCTTTCCTCCTCCTCTAGGCTAAAGGATTTGCAGGTCATTTTATTAAAAGCAAGTAGTACTACAGGATAATAGGGCCTTAAGTTTTAGGCTTATTTTCAGCCATTTGTTATGTACTCAGCACCAGGGGATTTAAGTTAACAGTTTAGCATTTATAGCCATAAAATGCTTGCTGTAACAGAAGAGAGAAGGATGCTTTACACAGTCAGACACTGATCAGCTTCCCTCCATCTCTTCCTTTTCACATGACAGAGGGGAGCTGTTGTCCTTTCCATCTAGATGAGTCACCAGGTCATAGTACAAAGTGCATTAAAAAGAAGAATCCCAATGGTATGACATTTGTATTGTTGAAGTTAAACAAGTCTGAGAAAGCAGCATGGGAAACAGCTTGGCACTGACCAATTGAGGATTAAGGACATTTGCAAAGATAGAAGTTAGATCTAGGATTAGTAGACAGCATGGCCCTTCTGTTTTATTAGTGCAAAATGCAACAGTGTCTCAGAAAACAAGCATTTAGGAGGGAGTAACTAAATCATGAAGGGAAAGAAAAAAAAAAGAATATACCTCTGTTAACAATAAATACAATGGACTCTGGCCCCAGAGTGTCATAGAGCGGAACAGCAACCATTGAGTAAGTGTAGCAGGCATACTCCGAGATGATCCACTGCACAAAACAAGAGTTATAATTGCTTTGTTACTGAGAAAGGGAGGAGAAAAGAAACCAAAAGACAAAACAACACCCCCCCCCCAAAAACACAACAACCAAAATACATACTTCCCTTTAGGAATCTTAAAATTGGTTACAAAGTAGCTGGTACTAGAGCACTTTAACATCTTGTGGACTTGCCTCATGGGTATACACATTACGAACACGCATAGAGCCTGCACAGCAGTCATGACTTAGATGACTGTCTGTTCCAGGTGAATCAAGAGTTACTTGGACTAACTATAACCAATGAGAGTTAGAAAGACAGCGAAGTCAGTGTAGTTAGTTCAGATTGGGCTTCAGCTGATAAATATTTAGTTTTGAGCCACCCTATTTTATTTCATTTGGCCCCCTCCAAATAAAGTGGGCAGGCTATTCCCCAGTGCTTACCTCTGGCCTGTTTTGAGCAAAGATACCAACAAATTGGTCTGGTGATGATTTGCATCCTTTCTGCAAGAGCCCCGATCCCAGATATTCAGCTCTTTCTGACACCTATAGGAATAGCACAGGTGGTACTCATGCCAAGAAAATGCTACAACATGCAGAATTCATCTACTTAAGGAAATGAAAGTGGAACTAACCTGTTTGTAAGTCAGCCACTGATACAGCTGTTTTGGTTTTCTATAGCCCAAGCATGGTCCATTTCCTAACATGGGAGTGGGAAAAACGTTACAAGCATTTCATTTAAGTCACATTGCATAACAGGCCATTGCCACACTTAATAGGAGGTTCTCAAACACAGCAACAAAGCCACTAGAACATGCAAACAGAACTACTTGCGCATTTGAATCTTTAACCCAGATGTAAGAAAACAAGACCTCGCAGGAGATTCGCTTCAAGTGCGGCGACATAACCCAAGAGAGGCGCTTGTAGATTTTCAGTTGGGTCACATTAGGCCAAGGCTTGTGCTGGACTGTAGCAGTATGACTAGTACGTTTCTGGACATCCCAACAAGAGACTTTCGCAGCATCTGTTTCCTGCTTAACCGTTGCATCAGTACTGAAAGGCTTCCACTTAGCTTGGTTATGAGAAGGGGTAAAAAGGGCAATCCAAGAGGAGTCCCTCACTGCAGCAGAAAGCAGTTACATGCTTATTTCCAAGTGAGAAATAAAGCAAGGGCATTTCCACCCCTTAGTCTAAAAATATTCAGTCAGAGCAAGTCTTGTCATGCAACTCTGGGGACTGTTCAAAGTGTAGCTCAGTTGCAAAATTAATAAGCTGATAGTTGTTCCCATGGATTGCATGGGGAGGCAGAGCATCAGCCTCAGGATTAAATTTGATTAGCCTGTCTGTTAAACCTTACACAAATGTTAAAAAAGTTGATCAGCTATTTTTTGTTTATTCAGCTAGCCAGTGCAGTCTCATGTGTGTAGCATTCCAGATACATTTTATATGATAGTTCAGTAACAAGCTTCAAGTCCAGTGTTCCAGTTAGATTCGTTTTTTGGAAGCTGTATTTTAAATCATGTTCTTGGACCATCCATTCTAGTCAGGGAACAAGATTGAAAATAAAGAGATGAGACCCTGTCTGAAGTCAGTAAGGATGGAAGTCCTTTAAGGAGATGTTGATTAATACAGGCACGTGTTTAGCCGGGCAAGTTGTAGCAGTTGACCCATCATTTCTGAGAGTTTGAGGCTATAGACAGGTTTACTCCGCTTTAGTGATTAATATCACTATACAAGTCCCCTTTATCATAGGGGAGATGCATCATGCACTTCGTTCTTTACCTGGGGAACTTAGACGAGCAATTTGTGCTCTTTGTATGCATCATGCATAACTGGTTCCCTTGCTCCATAGAGAGAGTTCTGGCTGTCAGTCTTTAGCTCAGGAGTTAATCTGTTTTTATACTAGCATAAAAGTTCTCTCCTCTCCCTCCCATGCCTGTATTGCAAACAGTGGTCAAATGTCTGTACCAGCCAGGCATCAAGGATGGAGAATGACCATTTGACATTGTGAAATGGACACTTAGAGCAAATCTCTGGCTCAACACCCAGGTTTGATGAGAGCATAGTCAAATCTCAAAGCCTTCATCCTAGGGAAGGTCCAAGAAAAAAAAAAGCCAAAACAACAAAACAAAAACAGTTAGCCCAGGCCGGACTAGATCAGAGTAATTCGTTCTAGCCTTGGATCCAAAAGTTGTAGAAACATGCTGATCAGAATTGGACTTCATACACATGCAAGCACAGCTGGTATCTTGCTTACCAGATACATGTAGTCCCCTTTGGAAGGCCTCATACAGGGTTTTGGCATCTTCGTAGATGTAACAAAGCAACTTGTTATCTGGCAAGATGGCACTTCTTCTAGCTGCTCCCTAGGGATAGAACAGAAATCAATACTAATTCAGGGAAGCCGACTGCAGGATAAGTGCATGTCCAACTATTAGTTTCTCCATTGCCCTCCCCAAGGCGAGCCTTTGACTAGATCCCAGTTTTAGATCCAGTTAGTGCTGGGGGGCACAGGGGATTAGTCAAATGCACTCAGAGTAATCATTCATATGATTATTATTAGAACTGGATCTAGTTTAGACATGCCTCCTTTTTCTGCACCAAGTCATGTGGCCTTGATGTTTATTCACACACCAGCATCTGAAGTATTGCTCTCCTTGAGGTTGGCTGTGGAGCAGAAAACTCTTGAACCAACCTTTTTTTTTTTTTTTTTTTTTTTTTTTTTTTACGTTAAAAACGAGCAACATCCCAGAAAGACAGCAACAGCCACCCTGGTAATGCTTACTGAGCAACATTACTGCTCCTCTCCTATTGGAGAGGTAATACAGACAATACTTATTGGCTAAAAACCCGATATTCAGTGGCTTCCATGCCACCACTCCCCCCGCCCTTAGGGCAATCACATGCCAGTTGCAGAGATCAGACAAGCTTCCTGGAAGACCCAAGGCTTCCCAGTGCCTTGATTCAGTCCATGTGAACAAGGAGAATTCTTTAGTTTGAAAGAGCTTGACCCCAAAGAAAGATTCAGTTCCACTGAAAAGCAAGACTTTTTCTACCCGCTGACAGAATGAGTTACCTCAATTCCTATCGACTGATTGTTCAAGTCAACAGGAGGTATAATAGGTTTTGGTCTGTTTGCCACCCACAGGAACATCATCACTCCAAGGGTAATAAGGCCAATCAGTGCCGGTGTTGGGAGTGGCGAGAACAAGAACTGTAGCAGCCAAATCATTGTGATCAGGTTTCTGGACCTGGAAAGGGAAACAAATAGGTCAGAAGGAAGTACTAGCTTGCACAGTTCCCATAAGCACCTCCAGTTTTTGGTTCTTACTATTTTGAATTTAGTTGAGTACTATGAACTTTAACATGGACTGCCCCAGAACTGTCTTGGCCCCATAATATTGCACAACACCCCCATTCTACTCATGGGTAGATCTAGCATTATGAAGAGGCAGGTGCAGATGAGGTGCATCATTACATACCAGACATTTTTCTCTAGCTAGGAATAAACTGGAAGCTTCACTAACATGCTAGGGGCCCAGTAGGCTAGTTCCTTGGATATTGGTGCTATGAATATTTTTTTTTGCACAGCATTAAACAGCCAAGAAATTCCTTTCTAGAGCTCTGACTCTAGGACAGGTTTCACTCTGAAGTGAAGAGGAACAAAGTAGTTTCAGTACAGTGAAGTGACTAGAGTGGTCCAACATTTCCACTTCCCTGTTTAGATGAGAACCACAAGGCTTAGCCAGGTGTTCACTGGGGTGGAGAAGAGGGAAGCTAGCTTAAGCAACAGCAACAGCTAAAGACTGCTTGTTTAAAAAGTTTAAACATAGAGCAGAGATATGTCAGGAAGGCTGAGAGGTTATAGGCAAGTTTCTGGTTACAGGGACAGGTCAGCTCAAGTCTTCAGCTAAGACAGAAAGATCTGGAGGAGCTGTAGAGCTGCACATACCACATACATCCTCCTAAAGAGGAGATACACATCTTCCCAAGCTCCATCTTTTTCTCTGGAAGAAAGGATCAAGGGAACCTGGTGATTTAAGTAATTCACTAGCTGGAGTATCAACTTTAAGTTTCCCTGCTGGATGAATGCCAGACTAATTATTTGTTGCAGGAGCATTGTGTTGAAAGCAAACATAGATGAGAAGCATCTCGGCCAAACACCTGCTAGAAAGTTGATAAGGCGATTGTCCCAAGACAGGTCCACGTCTCACAGCAGTGAGAAAGGATGCCAACATGGCAAGTTGTGCCATGTGTTCAGAGTCTTTCAAATGGAGGGGAGGGGAGGAGAGGGAAAAAAAAAAAAGGAAAAGGGACTCTAGGACAGCTGTTCCACACTATTATAAGCAAGACATAGGCTTCAAAGGAGACACTTCAGAAGCTGCCAGGATTATGCACTGGGAAGGACTGGGCCCCCTAGAGCAGCAGTTTCCAGCTTGGTAGCACAGGGTCAGCTCCCTACCGCCAGTGGCGGGGGGCAGAAGGAAAAAAAGAGACAGCAATATATGGGAATAAAACTTTGCCTGTTCACAGGCTAGACACTCTTACAACCCATTAAAGAAGATACCACTACAGGGTTAATAGCTTTCTGCAGACAATACAGAACGGCGCAGCCACTGTTCATTGTACAAATGCAAAACCTGCGACAAGGCTCTGGGCTGCTAGCAAGGAGACTAGTTCCTTTTCTCAACTGCCATGACCGTGGGCAGGCAATTCCTTTATTTCCGTTCCCCTCCAAAACCCGCTCTATTAAAACGGGGACACTACTTCCCTCCTCAAAACAATTTGTACATATGCAGAGAGCAGCTAGGGGAAGGGCTTGAAGTCAGAACCCAGCTTATTTTACAGCAAACTTAGATTTTGCACGGACAAGATCTCGATGTGGACCTACAAGCACTGCTTAGCCAGCACACTTTTTATGCAACACTTCCTTCAGGAGCAAAATAGCCAACGTCCGATTTCTCCTGATAATATTGTGAAGTGGTGCATGCAGTAACACTTAAGGTAGGTTTGTTCCCTCAGGTATACACTACTAACCCAAATTTGCTTTAATTAGCTACTAGCTTCTTTCAGCCAAACTCTTCCTGGATATTTAATTAGTAAATCAACAGGATTGTACATAGCTGTCCTAGTATTTTTGGATTTGCTGCCATGTGCTGTCCTGTACTTATAAACAGCATCTAGTCTCCTCCTTGGAGGAGAACTCGATTAACAGTTACTCTCTTTTGGGTTAGCCCAACTGTGTGCCACCAGTTAGTGTAGCACTGGTCTGTAGCTCCAGCACTAGAGTTTAAAATTACCTTAAAACAACAACCAGTAGCTTAGCTACAGGCAGGCAACTGTGGCACAATTTTGAAGGATGCAGTAGCAGCAACACTTCCTTGTTACATCTCTGAAAGCAATTATTGTAGGGGGGAGAGGAGACAAGAGTTTCAGACACATTGCTAACATGCCTACTGACAGGTTTACAGCCAAATGAGATGCATTTCAGAAGTGACGTGTTTGGCTTTCATCCTCCAACTTTAGGAGTTTTTACCCTAATGCTTCTTGGAGAATATTCCAGGCCTCTCAAAGCAAAGATGCCATCCAGGGGCAGGCAGTTATTTCAGGCAGAGGGCCGCTTACTGAGTTTTTGGGACGCCATCGAAGGCTGCATGGCAGGCAGCCAGGGGCAGATAAGTATCCATTTTCTAAATTTTTAGGGGCCCCGCAGGCGGATTGAATGGCCTGCGGGCCGCATTTTGCCCACCCCTGCTGGCATAAACAGAGGTATTGAAGCATACCTTTCTTCTTTAAACTGACCAAAAAAAGGACAACTTTATGCGGTCCTCCCTCCCCCACCCCCTGCCCCATCTGCTTTGATTTTTCTAGTAGGTGAGGAGGGTTATTTTATCATCCACACATACACTGTGCATGTGTGCAAGATGCATTAATGGATGGTGGAGCAGGACTGAATATGGGGCAAGGCAGTGAGGAGAGGTGGAAGAGAGAGACCAGAACAGAGTCACCATACACATTATTAATGTTGACAGCTCGAACAGAACTGTCAAAATTTGATGGAACAGTTTTGTTTCAAAGCAGTTGTCAACCTGCAAGCATCTGTAGTAACTGCACATTTACATATATGAACTGATTTAATCCACATCTTTAAGAATAGCACCCATGTCATGTCCCAATTTCACATAGTAGCCTGAAATTAAGTAATTGAGGTCATTAAGAAGAGATCGTCTCTTCAACATACCCAAGCAAAAACCAAGTTACAGAGCTTACCCTTTGGGAATTTAATCTTTCCAAGTTAGGGCAGTACCCAGTAAATTACCTACCAGGGGGCACATCTACATGAAATGCTTAATGCACAGAAGACCAAATCTACTGCACATTGCGTTGGCATGGGTTTTGCCCGCTGCCGTACAGTAGATTTAGTCTAATATGCATTATCACTATAAAAAAGCATCCATATATGCTAATGTACAGTAGTGCCCATTACGGCACATTAAAATGGGTACTTATTGCAGATGCTAAACTTAATGCAGTGTAATTACTGTGCATTAGTTAATGTTTAGACACACCCAGTCATCATTTTTATTCAATTAAAGGAAGTGTTTTAGATATTGTGTTTTTTGGAACAATGCATCACATTCTGGGTCACACTTGTACAATCCTATTAGAGTTAGAGGTGTCTCACAGGCATCACTAAGGGCACACTTCTCTAGTTGCCTTAGGCGATTAATTATGAACACCAATCCAAGTCAGACTGCAGTATTAATAGTAAATAAAGTGGAAAAATGACAGGAGGACTAAATTTAGTCCTCCCACATTAGAGATTTTACCTTTAATAAATACCAAACTCTATTGAAATAAATGGATGTTTGATCCTTGAATCCCCAAAACCTTCACTAACTGTCGCTCTAAAGATACATTGAGAGGCTTTGGCACCTTTGCTGCTCAGACTTCATTCCTACTGACATATGTTGGAGCCATGCCTATAGAAGGGATGGATATAGGACATTTTCTCCATGTCCTACTTTCACTACTTATTTCTTTGGACTAGACTTCAGTTGCAGGATCCATGTAGGCTACTTCACTCTGGCTTCCAGTTAAGAGCTGCTAAGTCTGCAGCTGGCTTAACTGGCTCAAGAGGGAAAAAGACCAGTTTTGAAGTGCTCTAGATCAAAAGATTATTCTTAACCACTACATACATTGTTTCCAGGGTAGGAGGATAAACTAGGAGTAGGAAAATAAATTAAGCTGTTGGTTCAAGGAACCACTGTTTCATATAAAAATAATCAGGTATGGCAAGCTAGTGCTGATGCTAAGGCAGCTCTACTAGTCTAAGCCTGCATCAATTCCACCCCCAGACTCTTAGCTAAGAGACTTGGACAGATTCTCCTTGGGGACAGAGGTATGTCCAGGCAGAGTTAGTTTTTAGCCCAATGCTGAGGCCTTGGGCCAGACACGAGAGCACTAATGATCCCTGAAGGAGTCATTTAAATATCCCTCAAGTGCATACCTGACAACTGTAAACTCTTCCACGCTGGTGGAAGTGTACAGTCAGCTTATTTCAGGCATCATGCATGGAAGAGTTTCATCCCCAAGTAGTTTGGGTCTAGCAGAACCACGTGTTCCCTACCCCTTCACTACAATGCATCAGGTGTGTTGCATGGAAGCAGAATAAGTGTTCCTGCTCCCAGATCTCCCCCAACCCTGAACAAGGGCTGCTCCAACTGATACCTGTCATTCTGGAGGAAGAGTTTTGCATCTCCTGCAAGACAATAAGCGCTTCATTTTGTTCTAAAGTCAGCACAGAGAAACTGGAGGCCCATTTTGTCATTAGGGGACCTTTGTGGGGTTTTGATGCCAGCAGACTGACAAGCCTCCTGCTGCCTCTGTGGTCTCCCTCCTCACCAGATACCCTATTCTCCCTACCACTTGCTCTTTGGATCAGTCAGGTCATGAACCTATGCTAGAGTTAGTCTATCACTTGACCTTTGTCAGGTTTTAATTAAAGGTCTAGCTCTCAGCACAATCATATCCGGAGAGTCGCAGGAGTATGCAGTTTCATCAAAAGCCAACTTGTTTGAAGAAAGCAAGGTGCATTGGCTAGTCCAATTTAGCTGCCATTGCTATACTTAATTCTGGTCAAGGGAAAGAAAGATCCCTTCTTGACACACAGGTTTCATCTAGTGGGATGCCTACAGGAAAACTCTTCAGACCTGCATTAGGAGAAGATCTGCTAGGGGGATTCAGAGCCAAAGTCTCTCCCCCACTGTCTGGAAGACCAAAAGCCTTTGCGCATACTCAGTGCTTCCAGCTAGATTCAGTATTCAGACACATCACAGGGAACAAGGAGAAAACATTTCCATGCTTAGTCCTCTGTAGATACTAGATGTCCAACTTCAGACATTTACTACACAAATATGGAGGCAACCTTAAAAAACCCCCAGCTATGTAGCACTAGAATCAAAGCCTCTATGGGCACATGCCAAGCAACATTAGATGCAGTTATTATCTGTCAAGATTTAAAGGTCACAGGAAAGTCTTATGGTGATTCCTAGCAGGACAAGGATATGACCCTGCATAAGAGGTTGAGCACCTCGAAGTCCTACCGATTTTGACACGCTGTACATTTGGACTGCCAATCTCAGATAGTGGTCTTGTGCAATAAAGGTGTTAGAGAGATAAAAGTACACTTGAGATTGTCTGGGCTGATCAATGGTCAGGGATATTGCTCACCAGAATTGGAGTGCAAAGGCTTAGCTTTTAATCAGCAGTATTATTACAGTTGTACCAGTTACAACAGCATTTAGAGCAGTGCATGCTCCTTTGCAACTTTACTTCATTTTAAGTGCTTCCAACGTTAAGAGAGTTGTACTCTAGATCTGGAAGCTTGCTTTAAACACTAGCAGGATGTAGTTGGCTCTCCTTACAGCACAGCTTGTGTTACTGACTTGTAACCATCCCACTGGTAGATACCAAATAAGCGATGCAGGTCATACAATACCACATAAGCTACCAAAGGGAGTCTCTTCACCTTGAATTAGAAGGGGTCAGAGGTAAGCATCTATGCACTTTTATTAAAATTTAAAAAGACAGTGAGAAACTTGTTAACAGAACAGTTTCCCTCACCCAGTAATCTCTTGGGCAACTTGAGCCTTTGTAGAATACCTCAAACAGGAATATCATATGAACGGAGACTCTGGTTTTACAGTTTGCCTTGGATTGGCCATCATGTGGCAACACATTTGTTCCCAGTATGAAGGCCAGTAATGCTGTTGCCTAGTATCAGGGTAGATTAATGCTTAATAAGACAGCTACCTGTTACACAAGTTACTTTTCTCCATCCTACTACCACTTAAGTGAGAGAGACTTTTTATCATGAGATGCAGATTTGGGCCTATTAGGTTTCTAGTATCTGGGTGGTCATGGAAGTGTGCCACCAAGGAGCTTGGCAGAATGAATACAAAGCTAAGACTGAGGGAGCCATAGCAAGTAGGAGAGCAGTCATTTTGCTCACTGTCCGTTTCCTGGCTGTAAAGCTACTAAGGGCACTTCTACACGTGCTCCAACGTGCCCCAGACCATGTGTATAGGCACCCTGCTACAAGATCAATTGCTTTTCCCTTGAAAGATTAGAAGTGCTCACAGTGCAGCTGTTAATAGAGAAGGGAAGCAATTCCTCAGGCAAGGGGAGCTTAGCTAAGGACACTGCAGTTCACATCAGTATAATATTAGCCTAATGGAAGTAAGATATTTAAACACTTGGTTATTTCCTTCTAGGCCCTTTCCAAGCGTTTTTATACAAGAGTGCCATATTTAAGATCTTAAGTTATCTGTGAGCCTACTCCCGTAAGAGGCTTAAAGTTACTCGTCACAGATCTTTGTACTTATGCTTAGACTCTTCTTTGCGGAGTAGATGTCCTTTGAATATCATCATTAAGAGTGCTGTAAGCAGCTAGGGGTAGGGGAGGTCAATGCCACCCTAGCCTTAGGAAGGGTGTGAATGCCCCCTTTTTTTTTTTTTTTCTTCTTTTACTCAGAATTTTAATGTCTGGCCTTGAGTAGTTGAGATAGCTCTTGCTGTACAAGTGGGTGCTAAGCAAGACATCTTTGACTTTATATCTTTGGGGTGTTAGACTTCAGAGTGCTAGAACAGTGGAGAAGGCTACAATGCAGATATCTTAAAGATAAGTAAAGCAGAATACCAAGAAGCTTAGTGTTTGGAGGCTACGTAAAATGAAACAGCTTCAGGATGAAAAATTAAGTTACCTGACTTTGAACCATATACCATCAGTAGGAAGCTAGATTGCATTCCTTTAAACTTCTTTTTACTGTGAAAGTTTACTAGTATGAAAACTCAGGTAGTAACTCATATCAGTTGAAACAGGTTTAGCAAGTTTTTAGATACCTGGAGTTCTTAAAGAGTTTGTGCACAATTCCATATTTCCTGAGCTTGCTAACATTATATAATTGCCTGCAACATACAGTAGTACACTTCTAAATACTGTAGTATCTTTATCAGTCTTACTTTAGACAAGCACAGCAAAGGTTGGAGCATTACAGTTACTGATTTTTTTTTAATTTGTTTTAGAGTCTTCAAGTAACAGATATGTGGGAATTGTAAGAGGTTTTGTGAATGAATGTAAGACTTAAGAGAGTAATAAAGTACCTCATTTATAGACATAGAAGGATTCCATGAACATAATAGCTATTAGACTTGCAAGGCTTTGGTGCAACAAGCTGTTTTGTTTAACTTTTTCCAATGTTAGGATTTAATCTTACAAGCATAACACTTAAGAGCTCAGATTTAACAGCATAGGATACCTATACATCTGTGAGTTTTTATTTGGGGGGGGGGGGAAGAAATACCTTTAGAGCTAATTATATACACACACAGCTATTATAAGTGACAATAACCAATCACATTCTCATTAGCAGAGAAAGCAAAGCATTGCTTACAAAAAAGGTTAAGACCTAGACCCAACTCCCATTAAAAAAAACACATAATAGTCTTATTGAACAAAACCACTTACCACAAAACAACTCACCTTAAGACTATAGTTAGCTGTCTGACCCAAGTTTAAATAATAATCAATCAAAAAAGTATTCTGGGAAAGGATCTCATAAAAGGTTGAACCTGGAAGGGAGGAGTTTAATAGCCATTAAGTAATTGCAGGAGTATTTCCTAGGGAGGAGACTAAATTTACATAGTTCAGAAGAAATAGGTGACTAATTCACTATTTTGTTTTGTTTTTTAAAGCTTTGGGTATTTGCTAGTTAAAGGGTTTTTTTTTTTCCTTTAATACTATTTTTCATTGACAACACCTGTTATCTATTTTGAGCCTTAATTTTCTGTGTTTAAAGCTTGTTTTCCTTATCGCACATTATCAATACAACCAAATGATAGTCTGGCAGGAAAAAGAAAACTACTTCTATTGAAGCATTCTTAGCTTAGTGTTACACTGGAAAGCAGTAGCCCTGAGCATTATCTCCCTCTCTTCCCATCTATGCTGCTAAGACTCCAGGGAAAGCTTCTTATAGCTAATTTGGAGACTTGTGTCCTTGGTGTGCTTAAAAGTAGCTGCTGGGAGCACCTCAATGGGACTTCACTACTGCATTTCTGGGTCTGGCCCATATGAACAGGAACAAATATGCTGGGTGTGGTTAGGAGCATTTCTCCCTGAACGTGGCATAGCAATATCCTCAGGAATTACAAGCATGTACTCCAATTACCAGTACAGGTGGAAGCCTGTGTCCCTTATTGTTATAGCAGTCTGTACTTGGCCTGTGCGGGCTGTTCCTCTGTGATCACCATTTCCTGGAGGTGAGAAAACCCATTTCCCCCAGGCTCTTCAACCAAATTATTAATAGCTTGTCCCTACACTCCACTGCAAAGTGCTCTTTAGGAGCTGTGCACTTTTGAACCTTTGATAGTCCTTTGATCCAGCACAGCACAATAACAGTGTCACTGAAGGGTGGGTGGAGGTGACCCAAGTGCTGCTTTTGTGGGTGGGGCACAGTAATAGTTGCTGTCATCAGCAGTACGGCAGGCAGGGTTGCCTTGGGCATTGCAGCTGCCCTGCTACGCCTGTGGCAAGACGTCCTCTTCCCCGGGGACAAATTCTGGGTCTTCAAAGTGAAGAGTTGGGCCCCATTGTCTTCCCAGTGTTATACCCACCCTTTATGCTATGGATGCCCTTTTGTTTACTGCAGCCGCAAGATGTTAGGGCAGGGGCGGGCAATTATTTCAGGCAGAGGGCCATTTACTGAGTTTTGGCAAGCAATTGAGGGCCATATGACGGGAGGCCAGGGCAGATAAATATTAATTTTCTAATTTTTTTAGGGACCCCGCGGACCAGATAGAATGGCCTGGCGGGCTGCATCTGGCCCGTGGGCCACATTTTGCCCACCCCTATGTTAGAGCAGTGGATTCACAAGAGAAAATATACCCCAATATAGAAATCCTTGTGTTTCTCTGCCTACTCAGCCATGCTCTTAATAAAATGATCACGTCTCATAATGCTTTAGTCACACAGCCACGTAAGGCAGTGGACAGATCTCGTTTTGAAGTGCTTCAAATGCTGTTCAAGTGAGCTGTGCAAATGTACATGTACATTTGAAGCACTCCAAAATAGTATCTGTTTGAATGTGGCACTATTTTAAAACACTTCACTGCTCCTTGCGCATGTGTGCGGTATGACAGGGATGGCTAGGTCCTCCTGTATCCCATAGTGCCCCGCCCCCCCCCAAATCACCCGCACACGTACATGGAGAGGGAAAGGGAGTGGAGCAGAGTGGAGTCCCCGTCTTGTAGCCACAGTCAAGTAGGTCTCCACTGCAAGCTGCTTGTATCCTTCCTCCTCCAAATACTGGGAGTGGTGATGCCAGCAGGTCCCAGAGGCCTGGGGCTCCTGGCTCTTGGGGGCATTCCCAGGGCAGTGCTGTAGACCCCATATTCTCACCGTCCCACTACAACACCCCACCACTGGGGCCAGGCCTGGATTCTGACTCTCTGCTTGGCCAGTCCTTGTGTGTCCCTTTGGGTCCACTGGGGGCAGGGGAAGGGGAAGAGGGTAGTTTCTAGTCTTCTGGCTCTGGCCAGGGGAGGCAACGCTTGGGGAGAGCAGAGGCAAGCAGCAGAACAGTTTGCTTTGCTCCCCTTGCCCTTTGAGGCGAGAGGGGAGGAGGGCTGGGAGCTGCAGGGCCCCCGTAGCACTCCCTGGACAGAGAGCATACTGCTGCAGGCAGCCGTAGAGATTTTGAAGTGCTTTGGCCAGGGAGGGTGTGACAGGGCTGAAGGTATGTCTGGTGGCTCATAATGCTAGCTTTCGAAACGGCGTCAGTCCTGTTATGCTTGGAAATGTTTCAGATGTGATATCTCTCTGCCCTAAGAAGTGGCCTGTGCATTGCAGGCTTGTGTGTTTTCTTACATCGACTTGCTAGATAAGTGATTCTCAACCAGGGTGATGCCAGATTTTTGAAAGGTGCTGAGCAATGCTAGGAGATAAGCAGATAAACTAAGCCGCACTGAGGCTTGTCTCAGCCTGAACGGTCTCTACCTCTACTAAGGAGATTGGACAGACACCTGGCTGGGGTCATCTGACCCCAGTGCTCTTTCCTGCCCAGGGCAGGGGGTTGGACTCGATGGTCTAATAGGTCCCTTCCGACCCTAATAACTATGATTCTTGTTAGCAAAAGGAGGTAAGCCCTGTAATATATGAACTGGGTTTGAAAAGCAGGTGCTGCTCCAGTCACAGAAGTTATGGATCCAAAAAGGTTGAGAACCACTGTTCTAGATTACAAACCAAAAAAATGCATTGGGCCACTTTCAGCCATCCCTCAAAATGACTAAGTAATAAATAAAAGCAGCACAAGCCCTATTGTCTGAACTTGAAAAATTTGTGTAAGAGAGCAAAGTGGGTCAGAGACAGACACAAACCTCAGCCTTTCACGCCTTCAACAGGGTGAATAAAATACATACCTGTGTCCTTTACAGCTGCGTGCCAGCCTTTAAAATCAGTGACATGCACTGTGTGCATTAGGAGAACAGCTGTGTAACAAACTGTCATCACCAGAAGGGAGGGGTTTATGCGAGGAAGGAAGCATGACTAGGACAAATGCTTATGCAAAGAAACTTAAGGACACAGAGCTCTAGAAATTCAAGCAGTGGGTTAAGGGTTGCTGCATTATCTACTTGAAAGCAAATAAGCCAGCAGGTAGTGCTTGCTCAGTCTGTAGTTCTCTGTCAAAGTTGTTGGCACGTGAATGTTTGTACCTGGCGTGGGGCTTATCCTAAATTTTCATAGTGACACACATGTGGAACTGGCTGAGGCCCAATACTACTGGAAACCAGGAGTCCTTCACAAATTTGAGTTCCCAATTTGGCGAAAAGCTACTTATTGCTGATATAAAATCTTTCCTTGCAAATTTTCATTTTTAAGCCAATTTGGGTATTCTCTTTCTGCAATACTGGTGCCTACATGGACAGAAACAGAACTGCTTTGTTTCACTATTGATTCCAAATAATTTCATTTCTTCAAGACGGCAAGGTAAATGAGGCCATGGGCTAGACTTGTTTGGAAGATGAATGTTTTCTTCCCCATTTACCTCTGACCTACTTGTTGATTTGGGGTAAACCACTTCCTCTAACTCAGCTTCCCGACCTGGCAGATGAGCAAAATTATACTTCTGTGTCCTTTGTCAAACCCTTGACATCATGATGTATGAAAGTACATGCTATAGGATAC